CTATCTTTATTTCAGGCTGACCTTATGCTCTCATCAGCCAAGTACTTGTGGCATTGTTTTTCTAACATTGCTGATAAAAATCACAAGGTTCTGTAACAAAAAAAGAAGTCATGGGATCTAAAATATACAACACAGTGTAGCTTAATTTGTTGTTTAGTCACTGAGTCCTGGGTGACTCTTTTGCAACCACAATACAATATAGTATGATAACAAGACAGTTGAAGTTTCTTTTATTAAATTCTGCTGGTTTTCACCTATAAAGCTGTTCCACAAAGTTGTATTTGCACCCAAAAAGAAACTAAACAAACCAACCCTCTGGATGTGGCCTCAGGTAGGATCAAAAAAGTAAAAACAGAAATAGGAGCTTTCTAAACATCTCAGTTTGAAGGATCTAACCTGTTAAATATGCTGTTGTGGAATAGATTAAGTAACTGAATTTGCTTTATCCCAGGAATACTGTCCTTGCTGGCCTGGCCTTTTCAGAGTTCAGAGCCTCTTCAATTCAGTCACTCAGTCGTGTCCAACTCTTTGTGACCCCATGGACTGCAGCATGCCAGGCTTCCCTGTCCGTCACCAACTCCCAGAGCTTGCTCAAACTCTTTTCCATCGAGTTGGTGATGCCATTCAGCCATCGCATCCTCTGTCTTCTACTCCTGCCTTCATTCTTTCCCAGCACCAGGGTCTTTTCCAATGAGTCAGTTCTCCACATCAGGTGGCCAAAGTATTGGAGCTTCAGCTTCAGGACCAGTCCTTCGAGTGAATTTTCAGGGCGGATTTCCTTTAGGATGGACTGGTTTGATCTCCTTGCAGCTCAAGGGACTCTCAAGAGTCTTCTCCAACACCACAGTTCAAAAGCATCAATTCTTGGGTGCTCAGCTTGCTTTATGTTCCAACTCTCACATCCACACATGACTACTGGAAAAACCATAGCTTTGACTGTAGGGACGTTTGTCAACAAAGTAATAACTCTCCTTTTTAATATGTTGTTTAGGTTGGTCATAGCTTTTCTTCCAAGGAGCAAGCATCTTTTAATTTCATGGCTGCAGTCACCATCTGCAGTGATTTTGGAGCCCAAGAAAATAAAGTCTGTCACTGTTTTTATTGTTTCCCCATCTATTTGCCATGGGACCAGATGGGATGCCATGACCGGATGCCAAGATCTTCATTTTTTGAATGTTGAGTTTTAAACCAGCTTTTTCACTCTCTTCTTTCAATTTCATCAAGAGGCTTTTCAGCTCCTCTTTGCTTTCTGCCATAAGGGTGATGTCATCTGCATATCTGAGGTTATTGATATTTCTCCCAGAGCCTCTTCAAGTCCCATTCAACCTTATCTTCTCTGTAAAGCTTTCCCTTGTCTAAGGTGTCTCTTATATCTGAACTCCTGGCCATACATTCATGGTACTATTTATATGACAGTCACATTGATTAGTAGAGTCTCTCCCAGTGTTTTCTTAAACTGTTCTTTGACTCTTGAATGTTTAATTGTAAACTCCTGGAGAATCACAACCCTCCTCTAATTTCTTGTAATTTCTAGGTCCCTTGGCATAATACATTAAAAAAAAGTACATTAGGTACACAGGTGTATACAAAACATATTACTTTCCCTAATGATACAGACAAAATTAACTGTGGTAATATTTGATGAAAAATATTAGAAAGTCAGAGAAGTAGACTTTCACTTTTTATTCAGAGCCTTTGTTATATTATGTGTTTAAAAATCACCTACTATATACCTATTGTGAACATTAAATATGAATTTACAGCAGCATATGGCAAATAAAGGATGGGTAACAAATGCCCATTTCTTTTTCCTAGCCCACATGTCTAGTCAGTACTCTATTTTTCAAAAAACGTTAATTGCAAAGTAGAAAAGGCATGAGCTGTGTGATGACTCAACATCCAATCTGTAATGCTATTGTGCATATTTAATTTGCAAACCTAGATTTTTCACTAGCCATATGCGCAACTTCTTTCTTTATTTTCTAGCTTTCTTTGAAATGACAAAACAAAATAAATCTGCACTGGAAAGTTTTTTTCTTTTAAAGAATCTTCTAGATTAACTACAGTTTATTGTTAGACAGGCTTCCCTAGTGTCTCAGTGGTAAAGAACCTGCTTACCAATGGAGGTGACACAGGTTGGACCCCTGGGTGGGGAAGATTCCCTGAAGAAGGAAACAGCAACCCACTCCAGTATTCTTGTCTGGGAAATCCCGTGGACAGAAAAGCCTGGCGGGCTACCATCCATGGGGTAGCAAAAGGTCAGACATGACTTAGCAACTAAACAACAACAATAATATTTTTAGACACAAGCACTTTTAAAAAATAGTCTTACTGATATTATTTCTTTAGGTAAAAACACAAAGTAATATAATGCCGGCAGCCTGATGAGAAAATAATATTTCATCTCACATCCTAAGAGCCTGGTTAATTCAAAGTAAAAAATGTCCTCACCAAGCCCACATGAAAGAGAACAGAAGTAAATAAAAAGGGAGTGGGGGGAGGTGGGCAGAAGGAAAGAAAGAAAAATCCTCTCATCTTGGGAGGCCAGCATGATAAAGGCCAGAACAGAAGTCAGATGTGTTAGGGAAAGCATGATCCATTCCATCTGCATTAACTCTCGCTATACTTGAATTATTACCTTTCTACTTGAAGATATTTTTGCTGATAAAAATATGGATTTTTAATTATTTAGTCTGCTTTGGGTCAGCTGTCAGAAATCATGATGTAAATCACCTAATCTCAGTGTATTTCTATGGCAACCATTGAAAACCAAATATTATTTAGCCTTAAGTTATTCCAAGGCACTAAGAATAGACTTAGACGCTGTAGATGTGAACCACACTGCCACGTGTCTGCTGCCAGCCGCACCTCTTGGCAACAAGGAAGGCATTGTAAAAGCAGCCTGGATTCCTCCGGAGCCTGCATAATGCTTTCCTGGAATGTAGGTGGACAAATCCTCATAGATATACGAGGTTTCATCAAACTAAACCTCTGCTAAGGCATACTCAGGGTGAGGGGGGAAATCAAAAAAGCAGTCTGTCGAAATCCTTTTATAAAAGGGCACAACCTGATATGGTCATGTTACAGAAACTGACTTGCCCACTCTTGGAGCTGGAGGGAAAAAAGACCTACAGAAGAAATCTCTCACACAGCCCTTTCATTTCATGACTAACAAGGGGGGAATTTTACTGGCTTGACAAAGTTGATATAAGTTAATGTATCTAAGGAGAGAATTTAAGAGTTTCATGAAATGATGGAAAGATTATTTGTTAGAGAATAAATGTATTCTCTACTCTAATAAAGGTCATTATGGAGTGCTTGGAGTAATCAAATCTAGAACCAAATCTTGCTTGGGCCAATTTGACTGCTTCTCTCATCACCCATTTATTACAGCCACAGTACCAATATGGATTTGTTGTTGCTGTTTAGTCGCAAAGTTATGTCTGACTCTTTTGCAACCCCATAGACTGTAGCCCACAAGACTCCTCTGTCCATGGGATTTCCCAGGCAATAATACTGGAGTGGGTTGCCATTTCCTTCTTCAGGGGCTTTTTTCCAACCTGGGGGTCGAACCAGCATCTCCTGCATTGGCAGGCAGATTTTTTACCACTGAGCCTAGAGGGAAGCCCCAACCTGAATTTACTCTTCTTCTTTTCTTCATGATTGGAAACTATCATGATTCAAAACATTAGGAAGGAGGTCATGGTCTAATGAGCATACTTGTGAAAGATGGGTATGGTGGCTGTTAGAGGTCTGTGTGGAGCACTATAGCCATACCCTACAGAGAGCACTGATTTAGCTGGGGAAAGTGGTGTCACAAAGGCTTGCTGGGAGGGGCATTTCAAAGCACTTTGTAGAGTAAGTAGAAGATAGACATGTAGACGAGAGAGAAGGACACCCAAGTAGAGACCACAGCATGTGCAATGACCTGGAGACATGCTCATCTTCATGAAAAATTATATGATAGCATAAATTACAAAGGAATAATCCTAAATGATGAGATTAAAGAAGCAGGGCAGAATATACAAAGTTTTGGTTGCCATATTCAATTTCAACTTGATCTGAAGGTTGCCCTGAGATGTTTATGTGTGCATGTATGTGTGTGTTTTAATTTATTTGGCTGCTCTGGGTCTTAGTTGCTCTTGGTCTTAGCATGCAAACTTTTTGTTGTGGTGTGCAGGATTGAGCTCCTTGACCAGATATTGAACCTAAGCCTTCTGCATTGGGAGCAGAAGTCTTAATCACTGGACCAGCAGGGAAGTCTTCCTGATCCTTTTGAAATGGTCATTCTGCAGCTGTCTGAAAGATTTGGTAGAACAACTAACAAGGTATCTTTCTAAAGATAACTAAAGGGAAGTGAGATCAATACATAACCTAAGGACAAGTGAGTATGGTTAGAGAGAAATGATAGTTATGAGGTAAGTCAAAGGAAAACTATGAATCAGGTTTCCTTGATGTGGACAATGCATTTATAAAGTGGGAATATACAATAGTGATGATGAATTAAAAAGCCTTTCCATTTTCACCTCCTGCTCTACCTTGGGTTATAGAACCAGAAGAGTTGTCAGTGTACTCACATATTTACTCAAAGTTTGCAGCGCTTTCATAATTTTGCATTTTAACATCTTCAAGAGCTTTTTAAAAGAAAGTCATGAGAAAGAAAATTATTTTGCTCTCCATTTGCCATTTTAATGTGAAAGTTCCTGTCTATCCTTTCCCTATTTTTTTTAACTCCTTGCCAAACCAAATGTTAAGTTTCTATTTTGTGGGCAAAAATATTATATAAATTTCTATTTTTAACATAGCATCTTAGGTAATGTATAGCATTAAACTCTTTCTTTCAAATTTTGAGGGGTTATTTGGGAAATAGGAATCTGCAGAAAATATTCTTCCAAACCTCTATACTAGAAAAATAGCTTATCATTCTTTAAAGCATGAAAGTGATATGGTACCTGTTTGGCTTTCTCTTCTTATAAGTCGTCAGGAAGTCTAGAGCAATAATGGCGTCCACCTTTCTTAACTGCATCAAGCGGTGGGATGGGTATTTGTATATATTCACTTTCACACTAATTGACTCTTTTTTTCACTCAAGTTCATTCAAAAGTTTTTTTAAAAGATTTTTTTGATGTGAACAATTTTTAGTCTATTGAATTTGTTACAATGTTGCTTTTGTTTTATGTTTTTTTTTTGTGTGTGTGTGTTTTGTCTGAGAGGCATGTGGAATCTTAGTTCCCCAACCAAGGATCGAACCTGCAACCCTCTGTATTAAAAGGTGAAGTCTTAGCCACTGGACCACCAAGGAAGTCCCTCATTCAAATTTTTAAAAATCTTCTTGAGTTTGTATAAATTTTCTCAAAGCCTTTATGGAAGCAGTGGAGTCTAAAATTATAAGATAGACTCTGCATACTGTAACAATCAATAAATATTCATGGTTAGTGATCATAGAATATGTGTACAGCATCAAACCCAAATTTGAGAGAGTAGGACAAATCTTGGTCATATTCCTTCCTTGTGGCCATCACTGCACTTCTCTATTCAAGGAAGTGTTTCCTCCCATTCTGCTTCACTGAAATAATTGAGATACCAGTCTTAAAGTTTCTTCCAAGGAAATTTCCTGGACTAAATGGAATAATTAAATATGCTGAGTTTGCTGAGGTTTTCCGGGCTTTACTAATGAGCAATTTGTCTGTTTTTCTCCTTAAAGTCTAAACCTGTTTCAGCTGAATGGGGTTACAAGTGTAATCACAAGGCTTCCCTTTTGAGTTCATATGAAAAAATATACACTCTGCTAAATCAGAGGAAAGATAACTAGTTCCTACGCCACTTCAAGGGCTGGCTGAGGCATCTGAAATGAGAGAAAAGATGCTATTACACTTCCCAGAAAATGAAAGAATATTAAAAATTAGTATAAGCCACTGACCTTAAAACTCCCTTGCAGAATCACCAAAGCTCTAATTTTAATATGAGCTATGAGCGATCTCCATCTCTTATTTCTTTTCTACTTTTTCCCCTATAATAGATGACTTACTCTAGTGTATGGTATGGTGTGTCACCAGGAACCATCCCTCCCAGAACCGAGGCATTCATTCTCCAAGCTACTAGGAATATTGAAACTCATTGTGCACTCAGTCACTCAGTCGTGTCTGACTCTTTGTGGCCCCATAGATTATAGCCCCGCCAGGGTCCTCTGCCCATGGAATTTTCCAGGCAAGTATACTGGTGTGGGGTGCCTTTCCTACACCAGGGGATCTTCCCAACCCAGGGATTGAACCCAAGTCTCTTGCGTCTCCTGCATTGGCAGGCAGATTCTTTACCCCTGAGCCATCTGGGAAGTCAGATGGGAATACCAGACCACCTTACCTGCTTCCTGAGAAATCTGTATGCAGGTAAAGAAGCAACAGTTAGAACCAGATAGGGAACAACAGACTGGCTCCAAATTGGGAAAGGAGTATGTCAAGGCTGTGTTTTGTCACCCTGTCTATTTAACTTATGTGCAGAGTACATCATACGAAATGCCAGGCTGGATGAAGCACAAGCTGGAATCAAGATTGTCAGGAAAAATATCAATAACCTCAGATATGCAGATGACACCACCCTTATGGCAGAAAGCAAAGAGGAGCTGAAAAGCCTCTTGATGAAATTGAAAGAGGAGTGTGAAAAAGCTGGCTTAATACTCAACTTTCAAAAAACGAAGATCTTGGTGTCTGGTCCCATCACTTCATGGCAAATAGACAGGGCAATAAAAACAGTGACAGACTTTATTTTCTTGGCTCCAAAATCACTGCAGATGGTGACTGCAGCCATGAAATTAAAAGATGCTTGCTCCTTGGAAGAAAAGCTATGACCAACCTAGACAACGTATTAAAAAGCTGAGACATTACTTTGCTGACAAACATCCTTACAGTCAAAGCTATGGTTTTTCCAGTAGTCATGTGTGGATGTGAGAGTTGGAACATAAAGCAAGCTGAGCACCCAAGAATTGATGCTTTTGAACTGTGGTGTTGGAAAAGACTCTTGAGAGTCCCTTGAGCTGCAAGGAGATCAAACCAGTCCATCCTAAAGGAAATCCATCCTGAATATTCACTGGAAGGACTGATCCTGAAGCTGAAGCTCCAATACTTTGGCCACCTGATGTGGAGAACTGACTCATTGGAAAAGACCCTGATGCTTGGAAAGAATGAAGGCGGGAGGAGAAGGCAGAGAATGAGATGGTTGGATGACATCACCAACTTGATGGACATGAGTTCGAACAAGCTCTGGGAGTTGGTGATGGACAGGGAGGCCTGGCGTGCTGCAGTCCATGAGGTCGCAAAGAGTTGGACACAACTGAGCAACTGAATTGAACTGAACTGAACTGAACTGACTGACATCTAGGAAGCCTGTTGGGACTCATGTGCCTATAGCTCTCACCAAATCCCTCTTGAGGAATTAATCTCAACTTAAGACATCAAAGGCAACAGTGGCATCCAGGAAAGTTGGAATGATATGTTCCAGGACTGAAAGTAAATAACTATAACGCTAAAATTTGCCGTCTGCCAAATGATGACTCAACGGAAATGGGGCAAACCGCAGAGTTCGGACAAGTGAAGACTGAGACAAGGTACGTTTAATGGATCCTCACTGAAAGAACAGCTAAAGGAGATACAGCAAGAAAATGAAAACTGAATTCAAAACAGGGAGTGAGATACAAGAACTGATGAATGGTGGTAAATATGTTTGAGAATCTGCCCAACGCAACAGCAACACAATGGCCATGTAGTGAGTGTAAAGAAATACAGTAGAAGCAAAGTGCTGGACAGTATCACATAAAGCAATGGGAGGTAATTAGACTCACGTGTTCTGAGGTCCCGGTGTCAACTGGGAGTTAGAAAAAGATAGTGATTAACTTCAAAGGCAGACAAGTCAGGTATGCATATTAAAGATGGAAGAATAGGTACTAAAAATATTGAATGAAAAATTTTCCAGGCAGTAGGAGGAAATAAAATAGGAAAGAGGACTTGATGAGTTTATCAGAGAGTATAAAAGGAGACACGTAGCAAAAGTAAATTCTTGTGGGTGCTATTGGAGCCCCAGGGCCTTACAAGACTAAGGAATTCTCTTCTTCATGTGCTGAAAGTGTTGGCTGTGGATAGCCCACTCTTTTTTTTTTTTTTAACTTTAAAACAATATTTATTTATTTCTTTTTGGCTGCGATGGGTTTTTGTTGCTGCATGCAGGCTTTTCTCTCTAGGTGTGGCAAGCAGGGGCTACTCGCTAGCTGCAGGGCACACATCACAGTGGCTCCTCTTGTAGAGCACAGGTTCTAGGGCTCAAGGGCTTCAGAAGTTTCAGTGCGTGGACCCAGAAGTTGTGGCACATGGGCTTAGCTTTTCCAAGGCATGTGTGGGATCCTCTCCGACTAGGGATTGAACCCATGTCCCCTGCATTGGCTGGTGGATTCTGAACCAGTGGATAACCAGAGAAGTCCTGATGGCCCATTCTTGAAGGGAAATAAACTTTCACAAGTTTATACCCTCTCTCTCTCTTGACAGTCCACCCCAGTAACTGGTCAAAGCAGAAATATAAATGTCCAGCTCATTTGTCTCAAAATAAGATGAATCTTAAAAGCCATCTTAGCTCCAGAACTCCATGGGGGATGAGCTGAGGCTTCTGCTGCACATGCATCGTGGTTCAATTCCCCTCTTTGTTCAGCCCACCCCTCCTTCTTTCCCTTGCATCTATTGATGAGAGAAGCCCCTCTCCCCGAATCAGTAAACTTCGGTGCATTTATCTCTAAGATTCCTTTTATCCAGGAACCTGGCCTGAAGTAATTATCACATATGTGGTAGGCTGTGCTTAGTTGCTCAGTTGTGTCCAATTCTTTGTGACCCCGTTGGCCCGCCAGGCTCCTCTGTCCCTGGGGATTGTCTGGGCAAGAATACTGGAGTGGGTTGCCATGTCCTTCTCCAGGGGTTTTCCCAACCCAAGAATCGAACCCAGGTCTCCCACATTGCAGGCAGTTTCCTCACTATCTGAGCCACCAGGGAAACAGAATACAAAGATGAGCAGAAGATAAGGTGCACCAAAGGAGTTGCAGAGCTAATTTATCATAATAGACAGTCGGTTCTGGATTCAGAATTGCCAGTTGCTGCCTATGTGACACAGATGGGCCTCCTTGGGTCTCAGTTCCTCCAGCTGTAGAATAAGATTGCTATGTGCTAGGAAATGAACGTTTATGTCCCCACAACATCTGTATGTTGATACCCTAATCCCACACATGATGGTATTTACTGATGGAGCATTTGGGAGGTCAATGGGATAATTAGGTCATGACGGTGGCACTTATAAGTGCCCTTATAAGAAAAGACAGGAGAAAGCTTGCTCTCTCTCCAAGAACACAAAAGGGAGGTCCTGTGAGCACACAATGCAATGGTGATCGCTTACAAGCCAAGAGAACACATCTCAGAATAAACCTCCCTTCATCCTAGACTTTTCAGCCTCCAGAACTGTGAGAAATAAATGTCTGTTGTTTAAGCCATGAAGTCAATGGTATTTTGTTACAGCAGCCCAAACAGACTAAGATACTGTGGTCATTAAGTAGGACATGCTCAGTAGTACTAGGTAATATTCATCTATATGAAAATAAAATATTGCAGGTATTAAAAGAAAAAAAGACAAAAATGGAAAGGCTTTGCCTTCACAGATTTTGAAAAGAGGTGACACTGAAGTTTGAGTCTGAAAGATGAATAGGACAGTATCAGGGAAGAACTGAGATAGAATGCAAGCAGAGGGGAAACCTGAGCCAAACCACAACTGCAGAGAATCCGCCTGGGATGTGTGTGGATGAAGGTGGCAGGAAGTGCAACAGAAATGTGTGGAGTTAGCCCACACAGTTTGGATTTTAATCTGTAGTATGCAATAGAAAATTCCAAAGCCTTTATACATGAATGTGTGACACAATTAGATTTTTATTTTTATTTATTTATTTAAAATATTTATTCACTTTTTTTGGCTGTGCTGGGTCTTCATTGTTGTGTACAGGGTTTCTCTAAT